TCGAGAAGATCAATCCCAACGCCTACCGTCTGAAGCTCCCGTCGCATATTCGCACCTCCGACGTTTTTAACGTCAAACATTTGGTGCCGTTCGAGGGTGACAACTCAGACGGAGACGAGGCCCATTTGGATTCGAGGGCGAATCCTCTTCAACCCGGGGAGGATGATGGAGACGAGGCCGCTTTGGCGTTTCTGCAGAAATATGACCGTCTTCGGGCTTAGGCTATTTATTTTCCGGTTTTATCAGTTATCAGTTTATTAGTTATTATGGTTTTTTATTTATGTTATTTTATTATTTGAGCAGTTAATTAAGTAATTAGGAAGTTGAAGAGTAGTGGGCTCTTCCTATATGTACCCACTCCCAGAACAGTTGTCAATCATCATCGTATTATCATTCTGAAAGAAAATAAAAATCTGTTCTTGCGTTCTATTTTCCCTTTCGAATACATCCTCTACATCAGCTAGCTTATCAGCTAGTTTTACCAAACATAGTCTTAGGTGAAATGGCATTTTTCCCTCTATAATAAGACGCTACAATGGCATTGAAAACGAAAAAAAAAAAATAACTAAAATTGTATAATAAAGTTAATAATTACGACAAATGATGACTAGCTAATAAAGTAATAAATATTTAAACTACACGAAATTTTACCTCAAAATAATTATTTTAATTACATTTATAAAATTATATTTGTCGAACAAAAATATTATAAATAATTATTCTAATTTGTTTTTTTTTTAATTCATTAGGAACATGATTATATATGATATATGAATGTCATTGCAAATCGTCAAAAGATAATTAATTTAATAAATCATATCTGAAAAAGAAATATAGATAAAAATAGTTGCTAACTTTTAAAATATGATTAAAAAAATAGTATTTAATAAAATAAATAAAATGAGAATCAGTAATATCAGTTTCGTATAACAAAGATATAGTCATAGCTCGGCTAAACTGAACCATCATGGGTACAATAGGTCAACCAAAAGAGGGGCCAGATCGACTTATAGAGATTGTATGTATACAGGGGAAGTGTGAGGGAGTCGACTAGAGGTCTAGTGGACGACCTGATGAGGAGTGCACGATCTGAATCAATGAAATCTGGTGTATTTCAATAGAGCGACCTAAGCTACTAGACATGCCGACCTATAGAACAAGGAAACTGGCAGTATACCTAACTTGGGAGCCTCTGAGCACCCATTATAATGACCTTAAGGGAATGCGACCTGGTGATACTTGGGACCTGTGGGCACTTGGAAACACAAGTCGAAGGAGACTTAATGAGGATAAAGGGGAATCTAATCAGGATAAGATGGAATCTAATGATGATAAGGATAAATCAAGATAAATACTAAAGTTCAGGCAGCTAGGCGGTTACGGACAGGTTGGTCGGGCAGTAGAGCAGCCCGGACAGCCAAATCATGGGCACCAAGGTACTTCCTTATAAAATGGGATTGAGGTAGCCCTGAAATTCTCTCTACACTCTCACATATTCTATACAATTCTCTACATACATAGCACATTGCCATTTTCTTCCCATGTACTGACTTGAACGTCAAAGTGTTCACACTGGAAACTTTCCCGACACGTGTTTTGCAGATAGTGGGCGACTCAAGGACGGTCGAAGCTTCACATCAGACGGTTCAACCTAAATACAGGTCTCCGACGGTTCTCTTTCAGATACTCTAAAGTCTACTCTTTGCTGCCTAGAGAACTTACTGCTTTCCGGGCAGAATGTGCTATTAGCAATTTCATTGCCTAATGTTTTGTCGGCAAGTCTAATCACGATTTCAGGGCAATCATCATAACGCCTACGTAGGTTATTAGTCGAAGCAAGGTTCGATGTAATTGAGGAAGTGAAGCGCTCTCTTCCTTGAATCTAGTTTATTCTACGATGATTCAAGAGGCTGAAAATAGGAAAAAAGACAGATAGATAGTGACCACGGGGACAACTATCTTTACTTGCTTAGGTCCCGAAATAACTCTCATTTGGCGCGTCTGTGGGAAGCTTTGTAAGATTTAATAGCTCTCTCAACAGCTTTTGATCACCTATATGGCCGACAGAGAAGCAGTACAGAGGAACCTATCGGAGGATTTCATGCAATAATTGAATTGTTTTTTTAATTAAAATAAATAACAAATCAGGAAACAAACATATAAATGTGCTATATAAATCTGAAACTAAAAGGTAAAGAAAAAAATTAAATCTAATTTAAAAATGAAATAGTAAACCTGTAGGTGTATGTAAAAATTAAAATATTATCTATATTAGTATTGCTTGGTTAAATATAAATAGAATATTGATTTGAAATCTTATTTAGATACATGTAATTATATACTATAAATTTAATAATTAAATTATATATACAAGGGGAAAAAATTTTGACCAACCTGAACTTTCGCGCTTTTTTGGCTTTGCAACCTAATCTTTTAATTTTTATAAAATGCAACCCCAACTATACGATATTGATACTGTGCAACCTCAGCCACCAAAATTGGTCGGAAAGCTCCTTAAGCGGCGGAGCTGACAACTTTTGTAAGGGTAAAATTGTAATCTTACTTTATACTTCGGTCTATAAATATAACATTCTCCTTCTGAATCCGAAAATCGAATTTTTTCCCCAATTTTTCCCCAATTCGCAAGAACCCTAACCCTAATTTTTTCCCCAAAATTTCCCCAATTTTCCCCAGAAAGTGAAACATCAAAACCCTAAATCGAAAACATAAATTAAGTGCAACAAACTTACCATAATTTGGAACGAATCTATTTGTTTAGGTAGTCGTGCGTTGCCCACGAATTTTTCAAACCACTTCACCGAATCATCAAAGATTTAGGGTTGTGAAATGGGGGAAATCGCCAATTTGGGGAACTCTGTATTTGAGATTGAAGAAATGGAGAGAAATGGTATTTTAATTGTTTTTTATGATGTAAGATTACAATTTTGCCCTCAAGCTCCGCCGTGTCGGTGGCTGAGGTTGCACAGTGTCAACATCGCATAGTTGGGGTTGCATTTTATAAAAATTAAAAGATTAGGTTGCAAAGCCAAAAAAGCGCGAAAGTTCAGGTTGGTCAAATTTTTTTTCCCTATATACAATTATATATCATACATATAAAATAAATAAATAAAAAGTGCTCCAATTAGCATATAAATAAATAAATAAATAATAATAATAAAAAGATAAAAGCGGAAGCTGCGAAAATTACATACATCTGTTGACTCAGCCAAGTCTCGAAACTCTCCCATGTACGGGCCACCGCACGCCTCCATGAATAACCCCACCGCCGACCACCGCGTCCACCCCCAGGGTACAACTCACATCGACGAAGACGGCGATGAGGACGACGTCGTCCAGTGCTCTAATGGGGACGATTCCGTGGAAAACCCTCCATCCCAGATCGGGTACGACCCGGCGAACAACTCCCACTCGCCGCACGCGCTGTCCATCATAGAGGCGCCAGTGGAGGCGAGTGGGCCCCACGGTCTTTACAACCCGGACATGGATCCGGCGCCGCCTCCGCCAGCCGCCGGGGAGGGTGGGGCCGACCAGCTCTCCCTGTCGTTTCAGGGGGAAGTTTATGTTTTCGACTCGGTTACCCCCGAAAAGGTTACCTTTTTAATCGTGGTTTTGAGATGTTTCATCGATTTGCCTTCAATTGGTGGAATTTTTTTTGTTTACTTTGCCTGTGAAGGGTTATTATCTTAGCGAATTTTGTGCCTTTTCCTTTTGGGCTTTCCTTCAATCAGTGTTGTTGTTGTTGTTGTTGTTGTTGTTGTTTTTATTTTTATTTTTTTATGTTTAAGTCTGCACAATTTATATTGGTTTAACTGGTGATGATTATGAAGCAACGTTAATTATCTTTGTTGATTCTATAGAAATTTATCATTTTTTATGCTGTGTGCTTTTGTGGGCTAATTGCAAGGGTTAGCAGTAATAATTGCTCTGTCACACATTCTTGTGTGAGCGGCCTAACTTTTGAGCGGTTCGAATCGTCATACGTTTGTTAAATGACTGCATATGTTATAAAATGTCATCTTTGCGCTGGCATATCCAGTTGAAGCCTTACTGTTGTTCTATTCATTCATATCTCAGGTCCAGGCAGTTTTGTTATTATTGGGCGGGTATGAAGTACCCACCGGTATCCCTACTCCCGGGATGACTCCTCAAAACCCTAGGGTATGCTCCAAATAGCTATGAACTTAATAGCTAATAATTTCTATTGGCATTAGGTTCGAGTTTTCTATTGTCTTTTTTTTCCTGTGCAGAATTTGGGTGATTTTCCTGCAAAGTCAAGCCACCCACAGCGTGCTGCCTCTTTGAACCGGTTTAGAGAAAAGAGGAAAGAGAGATGTTTCGAGAAAAAGATTCGGTATAACGTTCGCAAGGAAGTTGCTCTGAGGTAGTAATGTAGAGTTGACGAATAGTTTATTGAGAAATTCACAGAAGTGTAACCTTTTCACTTTGTGTTTGCAAAAATGCCACCCTTGGCCGTAATATCAGTCGTTGTTTTTGATTGTAAAAGACGAAGGAGGCATTTTTGACAAATACAAATTGAAAAAGGTGGCATTTTCGCAAATTCCCTTAATAGTTAATGCTATACCTTCTGACATGATGTGAGACTTCTCGACACTTGGGTTGTATCTCTAATTTTAATTGGTTGAGAAAGATGATGGCATACATTAATGGTTATAACAGGACAGCTCTGAGGAATGCTAAAACACAGCTAAATATAATACCATTCAAGTTTTTATGTCAAAGTATTTATTCATGTACCATGATATTGGATATATATTGAGAGAGGATTTTTACTTGTGTAGTCTTTGCCCATGGACTGTCCAGGTTGTGAGATCTTATCTGCTGAGTTGTTTTTAAATATTTTTTTTATATCTCATCCCTGTTTATGACACGTCCTAAAAATTCTTTTTATCTGACACATTTGCAATCTGCCAGAATGCAGCGTAAGAAAGGGCAGTTCACATCATCCAAGTCAGTTGGTGACGAAACAGGTTCATCGGCTGACTGGAATGGAACTTCGGGCTCAGAAGAGCAGGAGACCTTGTGAGTGCTGATATTTTGACGGTTCTTTAGTTCTGTTATTTTTTCTTCATGCTTCTTGTTTTGGGCTATAAAATATTAAGTTGAAAAGAAGATAGAATTTGTGCCACAGAGGTGACTTTTTAGTGTAGCCTTTGGCGCTTCACTACTTTCTAGAAATAATGCTAAGTTTGTAAAGCTTTCAACAGGTGCCGGCATTGTGGGACTAGCTCGAAATCCACTCCTATGATGCGACGCGGGCCAGATGGCCCACGAACTCTGTGCAATGCATGTGGTCTCAAATGGTCCAACAAGGTGTGTGTGAGAATCATTGACTTGGTCTAACTCGCTAATAATGTCTATGGTGGCTGTGAGTTTTATATTTTCCTTTTCTTACTGTTCTGAGCATTTGTTTTCAATCTTTGTAAATTTACTCTGTCATGGAGTATGCACACTTTCATTTTCTCTTGGCTTGGAGTTGTAGTTTTTACATATAAAAGCTTGGTGGCTGAAAAGTCTTGCTTACTAGTTACTGCTGATTTGTTTTATGCTAGAAATGAAATTATCTCGTCAATTGTCATCCTTTATTATTATTTTTGACAAACCGGATTTGTTTCTCTCCCACCTGCATTATGTAACGTGTAACCAGCTATCTTGGAGCTTTCTTAAACCCTTAGTCTACTGCCATTACTGAAAAGTTTTCTTGTTCTAATCTAACATTTAGTCATTCCCAATCCCTTCTAAGCCTTTTGTATTGCACATTCATATGTTGCTAAATTTTTTCTTCAATATATTTGTAACCTATCTTTCTTATTTTTCACAATTTGCATAAACATCAATACGGGTCGGGTCTATTTACTTACACCCGAGAAAATGATCATCCACCTTGAGGCGAACAAACACATTTTCACAGTTTTTGAAGATAGTCCCTTTACACACTATTCCTCTTTTACTGCTGAACATAGCCAGTTCCAATTTGGAAAATTATTCCTCACAGGCACTGATGTTTTTACAAGTATTATTGCGCTCTTAATCTACTCAAAATGTTGCAGGGACTCCTGAGAACCCTTCCGAAAGTTCCCATCATTGGCGTGCAACAACATGCTATGAAGGCAGGTTTTTCACATCTAATTTAAAAAAAAAAAAAGAGAGAGAGAGAAAGAGAGAAATTACAAAACCTACTCTCGAGCTTCTGCCTAAATCCTAATCATGAAATGTTACAACAAAACCTAGACTGCAATGTAGAAAAGATTATCAAATATGTTTAAGTGGATATTTATTATATTTTTCAAAGGATAACTGATAAAACGCTTGTTAAAAAGAGGTTCTTGAATTTGCATGTACCGTGTTAATTTACACACTCTCTTTCTCTGTCGACCAGCAGCTTGAGAGTGAAGCAAACGGAATAGATACAGTCTTGCCACCAGCCAACATGATAACATCTTCCAGTGGCGACAACTGATTTATTTGACCTTCTCGGCAGTTAAAAATAAGAACTTGCCGGCCTACCTACTCTTTAGCCACTAAGCAGTAAGAGTAAGCTGTAAATATATTTTCCGTACTGGGTTTTGTGGGGTATATGTGGATCGCATACAATACTCATCCTCGTGTATTCTTGGTTTTTCGTATTTTCCCAATATATGTTGGAATTGGATTTTGCAGATTTGGTGTTCATATATTTAATGTTAACAGAAAAGCTGGGTATGTTCTTCTTTTGCCTCTGGTTTAATGTGAAGTAGATTTGCTGAAACATTGCATGGACCTCTACTAATATTGCTTGTGTTCTCTCTCTTAGACCATTTGTACTTTACGTGAAGTTGAGCTTATTTGAATAATCTCAAAATTAGCTCCTAATCTGAGCTTAAGCATCGAATTTATAGTACATATTGTATGGATCTTTACTAATCCAAATAAAAGAATGATGGTAAAATTGTGCCGTCATTACAAAGAAGAGTTTAACACAATTTAAAAATAATTATTTAACATTATATAAGATGTCGTCCTCATTTTGTACCGAAATTGACAGAAGATGTCGTCGCTTTATGTGGGGAAGCATTGAATCTCAAAGGAAAATTAACTTGGTCCGATGGGAGGAGTTGTGTCGACCCAAAAGGCGGAGGGTGGGCTTGGTTTCAAGGATCAGAGAAAAATGAATGTGGCTCTTTTGATGAAATTGGGATGGGGTTTGTTGAACTCCCCTAATGCTTTAGGGCGTGATTGTATATGATTTATACAGTAAATCTCACTCAAAACTCAATTTTAACTCAACTCTACTATCTTCAATATTATCAATATAATTACATAATATCAACCAATCATATATAATTAATAAATAAATAATTTTATTTTAATTTTATTTATTATAAAATTAAATTTACTTATATTTAATCCAAATTAAAAATTAATAAAATTATATACTAATTAAAAAAGTTGTATACATTTATTTAATTATAATTACGTTATAATTAAGTACTAGTACAACACCCGCGTATTACACGCAATGGCGGACCTAGGCAGGGGCCCGTAGGGGCACGGGCCCCTGTACAATTTTTAAAAAAATTTAGTACATATAATTATATTGTAAATAAAAAAAATTAAATTGTTTACATTTTATATTTGTTTATATTGTAGGCAACATATATAAATGGGTTACATTGATTTTCTACAAAATTCAACATTGATTTTGATACACATTAAATTTTAGGTGTTCTTAAAATTATAATTATAAGTTTACAATTAGCTACTAAATTGGATTTGTTATTGATTTTTTAACCAATAAAATTTTTATATTTATCCTAAAGAAGTCCACGAATGCTAGCGTCTAAAAATATCCAATGCAAAAAAAAAAAGAAAAAGAAAAAAAAAATTGGTATTTGTAAGTTATTTTTAAAAAGATTCGAATTTATGTAATTATAAGTGATATAATATATAAGAACATAAAGAGAATAAATATCATTTTTTTTTTCAACTTTGTAACGATTACGTTTGTGCCCCTTCGATCTTCCGAGGCTGCATCCGCCCCTGATTACACGGGTGCTTGTTAAAAAATTATTCTGAAATTTTAAAATTAATGAGAAAACTATATTAAATTTAGTTTACTTTTTTACAAAAAAAAAATATTACTATATATTTTAGAATGATGTGTGTTACTTATGACTTATATGTGTTATATTATATTAGTTTTTATAACTTATATCATATAACTACTTGAAATATAAATATATTAGTTGATAAATAATTTTATTTTTCTAATTAATATTAAAAATAATTTTATCATTGTTATAAAGATAAATATAAATTATTTTTTTTATACATACAATATGGATGTTAAATCGAAGCTCATCAAAAGAAGATTAATTTGATATACTACATATGCAAAACTGATAAAAAATACAAAAGTTATTAACTTTTAAAATATACATACAATTCAATAGTTATAATAAGGAATGGTATTAAAATACAGTTAATACATGTAACATGACCATAAATAATCAACATATTTATGCTAATCCGAACCTAATTATTTTTTGTTTGGAATTAAATTAAAATTTACCCAAGCCTACGAAGCATGTAATTTTGCCACATAAGATTCCGAAGCACCAGAAGCAGCCACGTAGGCTCAGCGGGTTCTGTATTAATTAATATATAGAGGGAATGGATGTAATATAAAAAGAGAAAGTGGTACAAGTGAAAAAGTTCATTTTAAATATAAATATTAATGTAATTTTTTTTTTTTTTTTTAAAAAAAAAGTTCATTTGACCCGGCGATATCACATCCCGTAGCTTCCTCTCCAAGAAATCAGAAACATCTAGAAAGTAGGTAACGGCCGATTCACAATACATAAAAGAGCTATCGTTTCGTTTGGAGCCGCCACAATACAGTACACAGTTATTCTCCCTTCCAATTACTTCTAAGGTTTACGACGTCGTTTAACGAATCTCAGAGAAATCCATGGGTCGCCGTGGTGGCTCCGGTGGTGAGTTTTCCCTATTAATTTTCCCTTCTTTTTTTTTTCCGATCTGTCGCTGTTGAACAAGGTTTTTTCATCGCGTTTTGTTTCAAATATTGCGAGTGGTTTTTTATGCTCGAGCTGTTGTTATGCATGCCTGTAATTCATGGTTTTCCTCGTTTTAAGTGATGTGTTTCTGTTAATGGTCGGCGTTGGAGAAAAATGCTTCTGATAGTATATTTGATTGATAATTAGGGGAGTGAATTGGTCAATCTTAGTCGGCAAAATTACAAAAATGATACACGTTGTCAACAAAAGAAACAATTTGTTGTCCCTCACGGAAAAGATACACTTAGTTGACTCTTTGCACGAAAACGATACAAATTTACAAAAACGATACATCATTTATGTTTGACTTTGGATTGTTTATGCCTGACCTAGTGTATCGTTTTTTTGTAAATTTGTATCTTTTTCGTGCAAAAAGCCGACTAAGTGTATCTTTTCCGTGAGGGACAACAAATTGTCTATTTTGTTGACTAACGCCTAACTTAGTGTATCATTTTTGTAATTTTGCCGCCCTTAGACTGTGTATTGGATGTTTTAAATTAATGTTTATTGGGTATAGCAAGATTAGTGGGTGAAATTTGATTGAAATAAATATAGAATTGTTGTTTTAAGGATTGACTTGCTATGGATATTGTGTACATTATGTATTTTCATATATACCACCTTGCAACCTTCCGTTTCGTGTCTGTTTTTCATGTGTCTGTACTTTGAATATGGTTGGAATTCAGCAGCTTCCCCAGCATTATTTCCAAGCATTATTCCCATTGGTCTGTTGTTCTCGATCATGAGTTTTTGGGATTACAAGATCTCAGGCATTTGATCTACTTGTAAATGGTTGTTTCTTGTTTAGTTGTAATATTACGAATATGTAATGGCTGACTCCTTGAATTTTGATCATTTGGATTTTAATCGCTATATTGTTATTGGAGTTCAAAAGTGTGTGTTTTAATAGCTTTATGTGGTTGGGGTTATTTTGGTGCCGCATGTTCTTTCGAGGTTTATCCGCTATAAACTTCACTTTGATGCATTTGAATTTACAGGAAGATCTGCTCGTCGTGCTGCATCAAGTATCCCCCCGGCTCCTCAAAAAGGTCATCGCCGTTATATATTTCTGCTAATATATGATCTTGTAAATATTCTTTTTCTTTCAGTTTTCAGATCTTTTAAAAGCTTAAGTAGCATTGTAAGTGTTTTTACGGATCTCCTTCATTGTTCTTTTTTATCGCGTAAGCTCATTTTTTTTCTCTGTAATTTCGACAGTGCGCGATGTTCCTCCGCCAGCCAATGTCCAGAACTCTGGCGGGTCCATCTTTGGGTCCATTGGCTCAGCCATAACAGAAGGTATGCAAATGCTATGTAAAACATTCGATATGTGACCATTCATCTATATACTTGTCTAGTTCGAGTTCGACCCGACACGGTTTAGCTTGACGCTTTTAAATGTATTTGCAATATTCTTTTGTGCAGGAATGGCATTTGGTACTGGAAGTGCCGTTGCACGCAGGGCCGTGGATGCCATAATGGGCCCACAAACAATTAGGCATGAGAATGTTGTTACTGAGGCTGCACCATTAGCTCCGGTTGCTACGAGCATGGGTGTATCCGAAGCCTGCAACGTGCAATCTAAGGCTTTCCAGGATGTAAGTGCCGCTTTTTTCTCCTTTTCCTTTTTGTTGTCTCTCTTGTGAGGAAGGTTCTAAATGGGCCTTCGTGTATAAACTTTGCTATATGGATTTGATTTGGTTTCGATTGGATTTTTTTTGTTTAAACGTAGTTAATTTTGAAAAAAAAAAAATGGTTGGGTTAGGTTTGAGTGAAATTTGAGTTTGTATTGAAATAATATTTAAAATAAAATGATTAAAATTGGTTTGATGTAAAAGCAAGATGTAAAAGCAAGAGAAAAGTGAATGGAAGTGACTAGTAAAAATTATGTGAGTCAATGAATAGTAAATTAAAGTTGTTGTGATGTGAAAAAATAATCGATTGATATTATTTAATTACATTAATAATATCGAGGATAGAGAGATTGAGTTAGAGGAGTTAAAGATGATTCGATAAGACCACTCAAATCCATGTCCAATCACACCCCTTAAGTTATTGGTGATTATAGAGGATCTTTGAGTAGAAAACATTTCTTACTGATAGCACAGTGCTTTGCTACTCGATTTAAAATTCTCGATTGTTAATTGTTTCTTTGTTACTGTAAATTCTCTGGTTATGGTGACTGGTATTGCATCTTGTGGAATGCTGTGCAGACACTGTGCATTATCTTCTACGATTGAGTAATGAAAAAAAAAACCAGTAAACACGTGCTGAAACATTTTGGTTCATTTAAACGACTTTTTTCGGTTTTGGTTTACCTGAACTGACATGGAAAATGTTTTTAAATCTTTTTTTTTTTCCGGGCAGTGCCTGAACAGCTCTGGCGATGACATCAGCAAATGCCAGTTCTATATGGATATGCTGGCCGAATGCAAGAGAAACTCGGCTTCTGTTATGAGTTCTTAAGTTTATAATTTGTGTCTACTAATAATATTGTTTGGGGCATTGAATTTAAGTGATGATGGTGATAAACATCCTTTGGGACTCTTATCATTTAATGTTATTTTTGTTAGACCTTTGGGCCGTTTTTCCAGGACGAACATCATCGATTGGTTGTTCTATTTGCTTTTATATATGCACTCATCTAAATCATGTTGAAATTTAGCCGTGCGTGGAACTTATACGATGTGCTTAAAAACAATAAACAAGCAATATATAAAAACTCAAAGAAGAATCATGTTGAAATTTAGCCGTGCATGGAACTTATACAATGTGCTTAAAAGCAACAAACAAACAATATATAAAAACTCAAAGAAGAATGTACAGGCAACGTGCAACTAACAGATTACATAAAGGTCCACAAGCTAACCAAACCAGGGAAGAACAAATTCTCACTAAAAGCCAATAGGCAAATAGAAAGAAAAAAGCTAAGGAGAAGCAGCATTTAAGAACCTACAACTATTGAAAGATGCAAACAAAGCATAGATGTCTAACAACAAGTAGCCACGGTCGAAGGTGATGAGCTCTTGGAGTTCAAAAGATGAACCATTTTCTGCAGAATCCAAGCAGCACCACCTCTTGGAGTTCGAAAGATGAACCATTTCTGCAGAATCCAAGCAGCAACATAAATCGTTTCCCCCCTCGTTGATTAAGTTCAGAATAGCCCATCTAACAGCAAGGACTAGTCTTTTTATTAGCCACTTTGAAGAAAGTATTCTGCCACATTAGTGACGGCAGCCCTGCTTTAAACCCTGAACACTCCACCACAACAGAACCATGTTTAGAATAAGATGCACTGCCTCTAAAGAATAGGAGTATTTAGAATAAGATGCACCGACTCTAAAGAGTAGGAGTCTTATCCCCTCTAAGAAGCTACGGCAGCAGTCTCAACAAGAGGCTTCAAAGGCAAAGAGAGGTTGTTATGATCAAGGAGAGAAGAGTTGAACTCAGCTTAATTCCTTTTTGCCAAATCCACCACCTGCTTTGTGTCATTCCAAGATTTATTAAAGAACAAGGAACTTCTAGTCTTCCATAACCACCAAAGGAGGTATGTGGAAAAACTAATCCGATCGACCAAGCATTTGTCCTCACTAGGCTGACAGATGGTAATCCACCAATACAACAACAACAAAACCTTTTAGTCCCAAACAAGTTGGGGTAGACTAGAGATGAAACCCAAAAGAAACAGTGGTAAGAGAAACACAAAAAAGGCTCAAAACAAAACAAAACAAAACAAAACTCAAAACAAAACAAAACAAAACAAAAACAAAACAAAAGAAGAGATTGGAGCAAAAGAGAAAGGAGCAAAAGTCACAGTTCCGGCACGTTGATCGCTAGCCTCCAAGCGGTCCTACTGCTAAATCCTTGGAGATATTCCAATTTTTAAGGTATCTCTGAACCGACTCTTCCCAAGTGAGTTTAGGCCGACCTCTACCTCTCTTAACATCATCGACCCGCTGTAAAACTCCCCTACGCACCGGTGCATCAGGAGGCCTCCGTTGGACATGTCCGAACCACCTCAGCCGATGTTGAATCAATTTCTTCTCAATTGGAGCCATCCCGACCCTATCTCGAAGATCCTCATTCTGGATTCTATCCCTTCTTGTGTGCCCGCAAAACCAACGCAGCATGCATCTCTGCTATACTTAGTTGTTGGACATGTTGCCTTTTTGTAGGCCAACATTCATCACCATATAGCATCGCCGGGCGAATCACCGTCCTATAGAACTTACCTTTTAGCCTTTGTGGTACCCTCTTATCATAAAGAACGCCCGAAGCTTGACGCCATTTCAACCAACCGGCTGCAATTCTATGTCTAACATCTGCATCAATGCCGCCATCCTTTTGTAGCATCGATCCTAAATACCGAAAAGTCTCCTTCTTGGCCACCACTTGCCGTCAAGGCTAACGTCACCATCATCATGAGTAGCCATGCTAAACGCGCACGTCATGTACTCGGTCTTCGTCCTACTAAGTCTGAAGCCTTTCGACTCTAACGTGTCCTTCCACAGCTCTAACTTCCTATTTACCCCTACCCTACTCTCGTCAACTAGCACCAGATCATCAGCAAAGAGCATATATCAAGGGATATCATCTTGTATGTCCCTTTTGGCCTCATCCATCACCAAGACAAATAAATAAGGGCTTAATGCTGACCCCTGGTGTAGTCCTATTTTAATTGGGAAGTCGCTGGTATCGCCCCCACATGTTCGGACACACGTCATCGCATCCTTGTACATATCCTTGATGAGGGTAATGTACTTAGATGGGACTTTGTGCTTTTCTAAGGCCCACCACATGACATTTCTCGATACTCTGTCATAAGCCTTCTCAAGGTCGATAAAGACCATGTGCAAGTCCTTCTTTTGGTCCCTATATCTCTCCATCAACTGTCGTATTAGGAAAATCGCCTCCATGGTCGACCTTCCAGGCATAAACCATGGTAATCCACCAATCCCCAAGATTTATTAAAGAACAAAGAACTTCTAGTCTTCCATAACCACCAAAGGAGGTATGTGGAAAGACTAATCCTATCGACCAAGCATTTGTCCGTACCAGGCTGACAGATGGTAATCCACCAATCTCTTAACTTTGAATTCGAAAGGTTGAAATGATACCAGCTAATGCCAATTACTTTCCAGCATAATGTGAATCTGGTACAATTGAATAACACATGCTCCAGATCTTCATCTTGGTCCCTACACATCATGCGCACTCAATCTACTTTGATCTTTTTGTCAACAAGCTTCATACTGGTGCTGAGGAAGCCATGCCAGTATCTCCAAAGGAATAATTTTAGTTTCACTGCAATTGGGAGTTTCCATGTGGCACACCACATGCTTTCTTCCTTCGACAATCCCGAGCTTGTACCATCTAATCAGAAGAAAAAATGTTTGTTATGCAGAATGACCCTGCACACACTTTTTACAGTTAAAAGTCCTTTACGGTACCAATGCCAAATGAGCCTATCTCTCAACCGAACAATGCTAATTGGAAGCTCAAGAAATTTTTCAGCCTCAAAAGGGTTGAAGGTTTGCCTAGCCAAATCTACATCCCAATCCTCACCACTATGAACCATCGACTTGTTAGGATCAACAACTTAAAACTTAGTTCTCCATCAAACCCACATACAAGCCCAAGTAAAGTTCCATTCTAAACCCAATAGCCCACCAAGCTTATATATTGACTTGAAAATTTTTAATCTTCCGATGTAGGATTGAGTTTGCACACCCAACAAACCTCCCCTCAAACACAAGACCACGTTGGGCCTCCCCTTGAACGAAATTCATATGATCTGACCATCTCGTACCGCTGTTATCACCCACGAAACTCGTCGCCTGACCACACCCTTTCGCCAGGAAGACTTTCGACACAAGGCACACGGATCCACCGGCCTTCCTGCTCCACAGGGAACATGCCACGTCATCCACGTCACAACTGGGCTACCAACCGTGGCTCAGATTCTAATTGTTATGATCAACAACTTAAAATTGAGAAAATTACCCGTGGCACGAGTCAATCTTATTTTATTTATTAATTAACGAGACTAATTATTTATTTACAAACATACGATAGTCGGCCACATAAATAAAGAATTAACCAATTTGCTCAACTTCGATCTCTGTTTGTCTCTCTTTTTGTTAATGCCTGCAAATCAAAGGTACGAATTAGATTAAAAGCTTCAAAGATCGAGATTCGAAAGACAGAAGAAGGGCAGTTCGTACAAGTTGGGTCGACGGCCGCCTGTGTGAAGTTCGTGCATAGGGAGTGATAAGGTGCGTGCAGAATAACAAATGGTTAATTAGGGTTTCTTAGGTTGACCTGTGGGCAATTTTTTAGGTATAGGCTTATTTTTGCAGATTGATTGGTTTGAGGAATGAGTACAAAGGTAATGGAAGCTGCAGCATCACTGGTGGTGGATCCAAGTCGAAGAGTTCGAGCGGGAGGCTGCGTGGGTGGCTGCGTTGGATGAGTGGTCGATGGTGGCAGTGGCGGTGGCGGATTTGGTCATGGCGGTTGGTGGCGGTGATCAGTTAATAAATATGACATAAACCTCAAAATTGTATATATAAACCAAAAATATACCATTACAAAATTTCGTAATTTATGAACTGGATAATAAATTTCAAAATAGTATATATAAACCAACAATATACCAATAAACAATATACCAATACAATTTTTCGTAATTTATAAACTGGATAATAAACTTCAAAATAGTATATATAAACCAACAATATACCAATACAAAATTTCGTAATTTATAAACTGGATAATAAACTTCAAAATAGTACATATAAACCAACAATTTATCAATAATAAAATAAATATTTTAAATATTTTCAAATTTTGCTGTAACACAAATTTTTTCAGAATTTTTTTAGATGAACTCTTGTTTTTTACGTTGATCAAACTTTTGTAGAATTTTTTTAGATCGTGGCTTCTCAACGGGTAGGAACCTTTAGAAAAGGAATGAGGATTTTAAATTTTGGTAAGCCACGTTTGTTAAGCAAATCACCAATTTTTAAGGGATGTGTAATTGAGATATTACTTGTCAACAGATTCGTAAAGATGCTAAATCTTTTAAAAAGCAGTAAATATGAAATTTAATACCTAGAGACTCGTAGGTGTGTAAATTCGCCCTTAAAATTCAGTCCTCCATCAAGCCCAAATAAGATTTCACTCTAAAACTAATTGGCAATAGAAGGAGTAGTCCACCAAACTTATATATTGACTTATGTGGTATTAGGTTTGCACACCCAACAAACTTCCTAACCCAAGTCCATCTATTTCTATCAGTTCCATAGCAGCAATATTGGAGTTTATATAGTTCTTTTGCATGTTTTATAGGAGCTGCAGTTCTTTTTTCTTTTCTTTGTTCTAAAGTCGCGTTTTAACAGTTGTGTGTCGACTTTCTTTACTTAACACCTTTTTTAGTTGATACGGCGTCGTTCTGCTGCGCCTTT